CCTCCTGGCCGCGACACTCGCAATCAATCATCTATGCCTCATGGCTAAGTAATGTGACAAAATCCATTAAAATTGATACCCGACAAACAAATTGAGTAGCCACACAGAGGCCAATTTCCCCTATGTAACCAGAAACAGCAACGCCTCCAGTCCGAAATCTACGGCTTGAGCTGGCTCAAAGGGCCCCAATTGATTGAGCAGTGTTTCCCAGGCCAATGACCGCAGTGGATTGAGTCACCGCCGAATAATGACGATGATTTCGTTAAATTGTGTACAAATTATAAGTGAGTTGTCTTGGGACAAAGAACAGCTGCTAGTTAAAAATTTAGGCGAGGCTTTTGACTAGGTCGCCTTTCTTCTATAATCGATTGAAGTAAACAAAGACCTTGTTACTTTAAAAGGTTCCCGGTAATTCATATTGATTTCAGTTTATATATAAACATGGCAACGCACTCAAGAAGGCATTTCCGATTTAATGGGAAATATAATTTCGGTGTAAAGTGGTAGTAAAGCTATTTAAACTTTTTAATAGGCTTACGAATGGGCAGCCTAAATAATATTTTTTAAACATTTTCTAGTTCGCGCTAGGAACAATCAGACGCATGCCTTCTCGCTCTTTTAGTGTCTTTTTATCGCTTTTAGCAATTGACAATAACTTTTCGTTTGTGTGCTTTATTTGCCAAGCCAAAACACAAACACACACAGATGGGGTAATACAAAAATTTTGACTTTTCGCCAGCTGGGGCTTATCAAAAACTTTGTGTGTCGTCGACGTCGTGGAACGGTAAACAAAAGCAGAATAAATAATAGTACATAGACAGTGTTCGCTATTTGCCTGGGCTTTCTTTCAGTTCGGCGATAGAAGAATGCCGAATGGAGAATTATAATTAATCGTGAGCGAGCTCGGGGAGTGCCGGTTGCAAATTGAATTATGAATTCCACTCGGGCTGACCCACTGGGGCGAAATTAATTTTTATAAATATAATTTCACTACTAAATCAAGACCGAATTCCGGGACATATTCCCGGCTTCATTTGCATGCACAACACAAACACAACACTGGCATCCGGTCATTAGCGACTTAATTGAACTATGACCAACGCTGGAAAAAGGGTTGCACTGTATAATTTAGAACAAATTAAAGTTATATATGAACAGTCAGATCTATATAGGGAGATATATGTCTATATAGAGCCGCAGTTAGTGCCATTTTTGGGGTATTATTATCACCAGACGCAGAGGCAGTGATTAGCCCGAATTCGGTCTGCATTTGCCTATCAGCTGAATTTTAAATTGGTGGCCGATAATCGAAGACTGCTCGACTGATTTAAATACGTAACGAAGCCAAGAAGGCATGACACTTTAACTGGTGGTACTGGGTCAATAGCGTCTTGGCCCAGTGACACGAAAAAAGGGCGCCAAACTCAAGCTCTGAACGGATTTTCTTTTGAATGGCGAGGCTTAGAATACGAGTAATACGGGCAACTCACTTTTTCGGCCTGATTTTATTGCGATCTTTTTGCACCAACGGTAGCTGCTAGCTAATACATTTCACGCGCCCGTTCTAAATGTTTACGGTTTATCTTTTCCGTTTTCGCCACTGAACTTGACTGATCGCCCGCAAAAAGCTAGCAAAAATATATAGATTTTCGCTCGCGACAACTTGACTTGGCAGAACTTCTGTAGTAACTAAATCGCTTGGGGAACACGGTATCGTATCGCATAACACCGACACACCGAAGGCAAAAAGCACGCCAGCAGCAGGCAGAGCAGAGCAGCGAAAAAGCAGAGAAAAAGCAGCGCAGCAGCAGCAAAGCAGAGAGCAAAAGTCGCCTGTTGATTAGTGACTTGTTGCTGTTTCTGCCTCTGCCGGCGTCTGCGTCTGCGTCGATGTCGACGCCAACGTCGAGTGGTGGGTGAGGACTGGTCGCTGTTTGCACTGGTAGTTGTAGCCGGCTTAGAGCCGTGACTTGTTGATGTTTTGCCATGGCGATACCCAGTAATCGAGGGCCTCAGGGGTATATTGTGCTTGAATTTCAAACCAACGAAATTCTTTCAGAACCGAGGTTTCTGAATTCATTTATAAACGAGCCCTTAAAGGAAACCTATATAAGTATAAGATTTTCCACCCCCACTCGGGTAAAAAGTGGCGGAAATGTGGTATTCAAAGAGTGTGCAACAAATTATTTGTTTTGCATCCGTCACTTGCTTGATCCAATATATTTATCATCGAGTTTAAACTACAATCAAAACTACCAACTTCAACATTGGTAGGACAAGTATTAAATAGATATATTCGGAAGTATTAAAATGAGACGTTCGGTACAGACAGAAACTAAAAAATATAAAATGTACAATATTTTAATACGAAATACTTTAAATGAATACGATAATTTAATACAATAACTATGGTTTTTTTTGAGTGTTGGTATTGTGAAAGCACTGGTTCGAAGCATACTGTATCCTTGAGACCCGGCTGCATTGTGTAAAATAAATTAATTATAAGATACCCCTCACACAATGGTCGACGATATCTTTTACGGTGCAGGCTGATAATTAGAATCGATTCCTGTGCTTTTCTTTTATGTGGACTTTTATGTCCACCCGACCGGTTAAAGAGGGAGTAAGGAAAGACAAAATAATTAATTTTATCTTAAGAATCCTCCGGCTTGCCTTCCAAAAAAAGAAACAATGTTTTATCCATTTAATCCCTTTAAGGTGATTTTGTTTAACAAAACTACTCATGTGAGGATAGTTATCCTATCCTCATGTTATCCTATGTAGTTATAATTGAATAAATTGCATACGAGAAATATTAACTGTCACATGGTGTAGCAAGCGCGGAGAACCGCCACTTTTGTTTCCCGAAAAAAATATTCTAGGGTATTTTTAAAACTATACTCCCAAGGTTCTGACGTTCTCGGTGACTTTTTCGTCGTTCCTCCCCCGATTTGCGTTCTGCGTTCGGCGGGCACGAACCACAGATCCGATATTTTTCAAATTTGTATGCATAAATTCACACACAAATGCACAGCGAGGGTCGGGGGGTCAGTTTGAGTGGGGCAGGGCAGCGCAGGGGTGGCGAGCCAGAGGGGCAGAGAGGAGGGGGAGGCCTGGCCAGCAAACAGAACAAAAGAACTCAATCATTGTCAGTGCATTGTGCCGCAGCATGTGCGCATCTGGTTTAGGGCAGCGGCAGAAGCTGGGACTACAACTGGAATCGGAACTGGGACTTGTATGGATGGGGCTATATCACTCACACTATAGTCACTGGTCGACAGGCACAGACATATGTCTGCAGTGGAGGCAGTCGATGAATGACGATGACGACATAGCGGGTGGCAGTGCATATGGCCATAGGGAGATTTCTGGGTTTCCAGAACAAAAAGTCGATAAGCTCTTTTTTAGATTCCGTGAAATCCGATAAGAAAATTTTTGGAATGTTAATAGACCCCGAATTTTGAAGAAATAACTTGAATTCACAAATGAGTTGACTAAATGAATGATAAAAAAGTTAGAAAAAACTCCTACTTCAACTATTCTAATAAGTAGATTCTTTACAAAATTTTATTTTTATTATAGGTACTAGCTTTGTTTAATTAATATATTAATTTTCGAACTCTCATATTCCAATTATCAACTTCTGGAGCGCCGCTCGCATTTATGTGGACTTTTATTTGGTTTTTACGTTGTTGCCGGCTTAGGCAGTGACCACTCATTGCCCCCCTTCCCTTATGCGGGGTCGTCCCTCCCCCGAATTCCCTGATTCCCGGGAACCTCCCGCCCTCTTCCCCTCTATTTCCACCCCACCCCCGCCTGTCCCACTCCGCCGTAAACACATAATGCCAGCGTCATTGTCATCGGCGCGACGTTCGCGTCGTCAAGCTCCAACAGATGGACAGCGGCGCTGTCAGGGGGTAAAATGGAGGAGAGGGGCTCGGAATGGGGTGCATTGGAGGGGAGGGTGCCTGAAAAGGGGTTCGCTTTGAAATGGTTCGGCGTGCACTGTTAGTTATTATTTTTCCAATACCACTTGCGAGGGAGTGAGCTGCTCTCTGCTTTGTTCTTTTCCCACTAAACTGTTTACGGTTCTGCTTTCGTTTATGCAGGGGCATGTTTTATGAATAGGAAAAGTACAACTTTTCCATTATGGCAAAGTAATTAGTAACTCTTGAACCTTTTCAGTTATTTTGAAGACAGAAATGGAAATAGAGAATAGTGGAACTTACCAAATATATTATTTCTATTTTTGTTCTTAAGAATAAATTTATCGAAATCAACTTTTCTATAAATGCTAATCTGCTAACATATTTGTCCGATTACTTACACCAATTTCCCCAATTTTTTTCTAAACACCAATGTGTTTTTTGTCATGAAGCGGAAATAGTTATTCCCTGGAGTGCGCTAAAAATTTAGAACCTACATTTTGGTTTCTAAAAGTGTTCAGTTGTGATAAAAAGCCCCTGGAGAATATTTGTCACGAATGGTAATTTGAATGGTTGGCCCGATTTGTATGATATCAGCAATTAGGGGAGTAAAGCTTGCCATAAAGTTGTTTATGAACTTGACGTTAACCAAATGAATTTATTAGTTGTGCGTTGTTTCAAGACCGTAATGTTTGATTAATTCAATTGTACTACACGGTTTTAGTAAATGCGAGCAGGATGCGGTTAACTATAGCACTCGATGTAGTAGCAAACACCCCCTATTGCTCACCTGTTGTTCCATTTTCGACCACCTGTGGGCTTTCGTAAGGGGTACCGCACTTCCGGCAAGTTTTCGCTCCAGTCCCAGCACTGAAAGTGAAAATGGGAGAGTTCTCACCTCCGCGGAGAAGTTCTCACCTTCCGAACGGCTCACCTGCTCAGGGCCAAAATCAGAGGACCTCGCTCCCGCTGAGCCTGGAGCACTTGGAGCAGTTGGGCGTCGTTCAGCGGGACATCCTTCAGTCGCAGCGATGACTAATGGGTTGGGCGTGTAGAGAAACGAAACACTTCGGATTACATCACAAATCACTTAAAGCACGATTTATTACGGCATAACACTTAAATGCGAACAGCTAGGACTTATTCTAATTTGTCGTACACTCTTGGCCACTTTGGGAGCCGGAATCGCAGGCTCCTTGCTCCTTCGCAGCGAGCAGAACTTCAGCATGTCGACGGGCTGAGGCCACGAGATCAACTGACCCGAGAGATCTCTGGTTTTTAGGGGGCGTCTGTCGCAGATCGAACCGCAGATTGGAGTCCAGCTACACCAGATCGCAGATGCCGCGGTTTAGAAAAACCTCGAGGCACGTGTTGTCCACTCGATCGAAGAGCAACGAGCCGAATCTCCGGGCCGTATAGTCAACGATCAGCACCATCTTGCAGTTGATGCACTTGTCGCGGTAGTGGAACAGCAATCCCACGGTGGGGTGCACCACGTGATCGGCGTAGCCGGGAGCCGAGCGGTAGACCTGGTGGTTGCCCATCTCCACAATGGCCCTGGCATTGACCACCACCTTGCTCCTCACGTACGCGGGCAGGACCTCCAGGGTTCGGCGGACCTTCGACTGGGTGTACAGCAGCCTATTGAGGACGTGGCTGGGGGCGTTGAAGGTGTCGTTGCTGTCCCGCCGGTGGAAGAAGACGTTGCGGAAGACGAAGCCCGCCGTGCGTCCCTCGTCGCACTGGCGCAGGTAGTCCGCCAGCGTGTTGTGCTTCAGCGGCATCACCACCTCGTCCAGATCCACCACCGCCGCATACCGGAAGTTGTCCACCACATTGGCCCGGTAGACGCAGTCGTTGAACTGCGCCACTATTCCGGCGTAGTGCAGATCCTGCAGATGGGCCTGGACATTCCACTCGAAGACGTCGGCCAGACCCATCCGCTGGTAGTGCTCCAGAACACGACGCACCTCCTCGCTGGCCTCCACGTAGTAGAAGTAGAAGTGGGTGGCGCCCTGCAGGCGGTACATCTCCACGAACTCCACCAGCCGGAGCACATTCGAGTAGTTCTCCTGCAAGGGACCCACGCACACGGAGATCGTGGGACGGGATCGGCCAAACAAGTTGGTCATGTTGCGGGGATAGCTAAGGGAATACATTAAAAATAGCTTTAGATAGGAACTCTGACAACAATATTTTTATAACCTTGCCGATTTCAGTCAGAAGTTTGTAACGCAGTGAAGGAGACGTTCCCGACCCGAAAGAGTATATAAAAATATTCTTTATCAGCATCACTAGACGAGACTATCTAGCCATGTCCGTCTGTCCGTCCGTTTCCGTTTAGTCTCTGTAAGCTATCAGGCTAAAACTTTCCCAAAAGACTTCTTTTTTTTGCTGGTAATAAACAAGTCGAAACCAGCCGGATCGGACACCTATATCTATATAATAACATAACATTTTTTTAATAATTCTGAGTTTCTACTCTGGGTAATGACTTTTTTTCAATATTTAGGAATTTCGATTTAAATTTAACAATAACTATATTGTATGGCTGCCATAGGAAGGATAGAAAAATTAACATTTTGTCATTAAATAGGAATGATCTGCAAGGGTATATAATACCTCGTGGGAAATTTGAGATATGAAAGTTTGGCTTATAATTTATTACAAAATCAGTTCAGGAAAGTTCAAGTCCTGGTGGTCTAACCATATTTCTTATAAGCCCATGATGTAGTGCATACCTGATCTGAATAAAGGTTGGACTCATATGACTCAGTCGGTTGGAGGCGTAAGCCAAGGCCACCGCCTGAGGAAGTCGCAAGGGGGCGCGACGGGTGGCATGTAGCGGACACATGACGCTCCATGCTGCAAATGTGTTGTTGTGCACATCGTGCATGGCTCCCGCCTCCTCAGCCAGAATCTCCTCGCTCGTGAAGTCCGCGAAGCGCACGATGCAGCTCACCTTGGAGTCGCGCAGACGCTCCGGCAAAATGGCGAAGACCCGCAGTGATCCTATAGTCATCTGCTCCTCATCCAGACGGACGTTGGCTATAAACAAGAAAATAATTAAATCAGTGTTAAGTTAAAGGTTTAACAAGAGAGAACGCTATAGTCGGGTTGGTGTCCCGACTATCTAATACCCGTCACTCAGCTAAAGGGAGTGCGAATGCTGTACTCGGGTTGGTTTTTTTTTTTTTTTTTATAGCATATTTTTATTTATGGCGTTAACTTAATGGTTATAAAACGCATAATATAGAACATAGAAACAAATAACTGGAAACATAACATGAGTGTGGAAATAACAATTTTATAACATTGACAGTTCTACATTACTGTCTCAGGACGCGGGTTTGATGGCGTCCTCTTGTCCAGAGATCACCAGGGTGTCGACGCTTCAGCCTTCTTTTTGTGGTTGGGTTTGCCAAGGATGCAGCTAATTGATTGGAGCGGGCTAGTAGTCGGTCGTTGTAGCGGCTTGAGTGCATGTTGATTTGCTCTCTCACTGAAGGAATGTGCAGGTCACTGGCTAGGACCTTATTTCGCACGTACCACGGTGCATTTGCTATCGTGCGCAGAGCTTTGTTTTGCATTCTTTGTATCCTCAGGATGTTGGAATCCGAAGCAGTGCCCCATATTTGAATGCAGTAGACTTGATAGACTTGAACAGCAACATCTTGTTACTGAGGCTGAGCGTACTTCTTCCTCTAAGCATCCAGTTCAGCTTTCGAAGCTTGGCACGACAAGTGGCTGCGACTTTGGTTATGTGCTGCCTCCACGTAAAACGCTTGTCCAAGATCAATCCCAAATACTGGGCCTGGAAGGATTGCGGGATGACTGTGTCCTGGAAATTGACCCTGGGAAGGATTTTACTTCTTAGCGAGAAGTTGCAATGCTGGGACTTGCTTCCGTTTATAGCAATATTCCATCTGGTCGTCCATTCGCTATACAGATCTAGGAAGTTTTGTGTCATTCGGGACGCTTCGATACGGCATGCTGAGTTGGAGATAAAGGCAGTATCGTCTGCATACGTCGCCAAGAGACTACCCGGTTCTCGAGGATTTGGCAGATCGGCGGTGTAGAGGGTATACAGGACGGGGCCAAGTACACTACCCTGAGGTACACCAGCTCGGATGCTTCTAATAGTTGATCTTTCGCCTCTGACTTCAACCGTGAAGTTTCGATCTTTGAGGTAGGATTTTAAGAGGAGAAATTGCCCAGTTGGCAAGAGAGTTTTTAGCTTGAAAAGCAAGCCATCGTGCCATACTCGATCAAAGGCCTCCTTGACGTCAAGAAAGATTGCCGAACTGTACTGCTTATTTTCGAAGGCATCTATGATGTGCTGGGTTACCCGATGAGCTTGTTCGGGGGTACCGTGGTGACTTCTAAAGCCAAACTGGTGGTCTGGAATGGCATCCTGTACGCATCTTACTGCCATCATTCTGCTAAGAAATATTCTCTCGAATATTTTAGAGAATGTAGTCAGCAGACTTATTGGTCTGTAGGACGCAACAAGGTTCTCCGGTTTTCTGGATTGGGTATCATTGATATTGGGTTGGTGTCCCGACTTATACTTCTCGGAAATCTTTAAAGATGTGGGCGCAGAACCCATTTTAAAATCGTTAGTGGGCGATTGTGGGCGTTAGAGGGGGCGTGGCGCTCGGCTAAAATAAACTTGCGCTGCGTAGGAAGCCAAAGAATATGTGTGGGAAATCTCAACCTTCTAGCTTTTGTAGTTTAGGAAATCTCAGCGTAAATACAGACGGACACAAAAGTATTTCAACAATTGAACGTCCAAACGGGCATAATAATATCGACTAGCTAATGACAGATCGGGGTCACCAAATGAATTGAACCATCCTTCTTGGTGCTAAATCAGTTTTCCTGTCGTTTTGAACCATCTTACCTATAATATCCGTCCTGACATCGAAGTATGCCGAGTATATTTCATGCCTGAGCTTGGTGTCCCCTATCCTGCGCCAACTGTTGCTATAGTCCCAGTGCGGATTGGGCCTCTCAAAGATCATCTGGCGCTGGGTTTTGGCCAGATCCTCCCGCAGTCGCTCGTTCTAAAAGAGAGTGGTGCCGAAAAAGGATTAGTCAGAGGATCGCTGAAGGGCCAAGTTCGTATTCCACCACACTCACAAGGCTCGAGCGCATGGATATGTAGACCAGGACGAGCATGGCGCTGGCCACCAGGGCGGAGAGCGCGAAGTACACATGCTGAAAGCGGTTCTCCTGGGCGGCCAGCATTTCTCGAGTGAAATGGGGGAAAAAGCGCTCGGGACTCCGCTCCTCAGGAATCGCCGACGGCAACTAAACCTGTTTATTTATTTTCTAGCTGCGCTGAAGCGTTGCGCTAGCGTCGACTGAGAAGCCGACGTCTTGGGTCTCGGGTCTTCTGGTTCTCGGACTTGGGGTCTCCAGTCACCCCAAGCGGCTCCTGTTGCTTATTTGCTTAGTGCTCTTGATGGCCGGCCATCGATTAGCGATAGCACGTGTGTCTTGTTGTTGCTGATTTTCTGTGGGGGCGTCCCTTCAGTGTCATCACCATCGACTGCCGCCCGTCCTCGGCATTCTTTGGCCACCTCCCCACCACTGACCGACCCAGCCACAAGTTCACTTGGCGCCCCACAATACGCAAATAATTATGGCTCACACACACTGGCAGAAAGAAAAACGCTTAGCCTGATAGTGTAATAAATTAAAGCGTTATAATCCCACAATTCCATTAAAAATAGATCCTCTAAACACTTTTGATGTCCACTGATCCTTAGTATAGCAAATGTTATTTGATCAACATAAGCTTTTTTCTTGTAAATTTATTTTTGTTTATTAATCTTATTCTGATCTTTAATAGATCTTAGACATTTTTAGTGGAGTGCTATGCGGCTTCACTGAGTTTTGTAGTCTTTCGATGGATTATATAGAACTTTATTCGCCCACATAAATATCATGAGATTTTTTTTACCACAGACCAATTAACACTCCCAACAAAATCAAAATAAATTCAATTCTATTCACCCTATAAACCCGGAGTATCACAGCTGTAACCTAACTATAAAATGCAGTTTTTGGAATTTTTCCGCCGTGCACTAGCGAGGGGTGGGGAAAGCGCTTTCCCGCTTTTCTCCAGGACGCGTATGCAACAAGTTAATCAACGCACGCTTCGCATCAAACTGGCGCCTCAGTCCACAAACGCTGTCATCAAATGGCGGCATTCGTCGGCCGCGCAGCCACTGCGCAGTAGCAGAGCAGCGGCAGAGCTTCGAGGGCCTTGTAAAAGTACTCCAAACCCCCAAAAGTGGGTGGTGGGTGCTGTTGAATTGTGGGTGAAGGGTGGTGGGGGGACTTAATAAATTGTACGCTTGTCTCCCGATTGGAGTGTCCATGTCCATGTCTGCCGGTTCGAGTGAGTCAGCGTCGCTTTTCCATGCTATTTTTAAGTTAATACGGCCAACATCCTCCACTTTTATTATTGAGAATGAAAATATATCAATTATACATAGCCACATGCCAGCACACACAAACGCGCTTTTCTTTTCTTCGGACACATGTTTATGTATAATTGCCGCATTTAATACATTCGTCTTGGGCATGGCAATCGAAAGTGAACGAAGGCGTTGACCACTTGATGCTTCAGTTAAAATAATATTGGCACAGTGGGGCCAAATGTTGTAGTATTGGTACTAAACAGAAAACTAAAGATACAAAAATATCTCACACAAAATATTCAATGTACGAGAATTTTATTGTTTTGTGCATGCTTTAAATTTTGAATTTTTTTAAAGCTTAGTGCACTTTTATTTGACCATATTACTGGTCAATTTATAAAATGTTTTGACTGCAAAGAAATGAAGCAACCATGACCTCCAGTTCAGAAATATCCATCCACTTTTATTTATACTTTTTGATTTCTTAGTTTTCAGGAAGGTTTTAAGGGAACTCCTTTGCTAGTCACGTTGCATATCATTTATTTTTCGTCTTCTTATGTAAAAAATACTATTCAAAAATCATTTTATAAGAACAACTCCTAAACGTTCCAACTGCATCATAATGTTATATAGTTAATCAGTAATAATTTTAATATTATTATTTTGGCCACATAACATAACATGAGCAGCACTGTCCATGTGTATTTCTGTTTTTCCTTCACAACATTTCCACATAAAAACAACAAATTTATATAGGTATTTATTTCATTTTGTGCTAGCCAAAGCGAAATATTAATTATTCAAACCATTAAGTACTTTGAGGAGGTCCGGATGTGTTTTTGACAGAGCCTATTTGTAGCTAATAGAATGCAGCCAATTTGTCACACTCACTTGTAGGAATTTATAACTGAAGAGGAGGAAAACATATACGAAGAAGACCAGAAAGGCGAAATGCGTCACCTTTGGCCGCTGCCAAAAGGAAATCCGACGCATTTTCCACAAAAGCCGAAAAATCAGAGAACAAAAAACCGTACTATAATCCGAACGGAATGGAACTAAACTAATGCACAGTGCGCTTGCCTGCCGATGAGTCCCCAGTCTTTATCAGCTTGGTTCCAATGATAAGATGTACTATCTCTGGAATTGATACGCACCTACATACAAAGTTGTGTTGCTCAGGTAGCGAACATTCTCTCAGATAGTTTTTGGAGAGTTTTACCACGAAACATTACCAGTATAGACGGTGTTTTGCTCTTTTACGGAGCATATTTCTAGATAAAACTGTTCCGAGGAAGACAAAAAAGGCAATTAGACTAAACAACTCTTATACTTGTAGTCAATGAACCGGTAATGAACTTTATTAGGTTTATAAATAAAACGCGTATTACGAAAATAACGCCAATTAATGAGAAAAGTATTTGTTTAGTTATTTTTCTACGGTCTATCCTGAAAACATTGTACAATTCTTAATATATATTTTTTAAAACCGCTATTTTACGAGTATAGACTTAATTGCATAGCGTCAGATAAGAAACAAAAAATCCTAAATGATCCTTATTATTTAAATTTAAAATATTCCCGATAATACCATTCAAGTGTCACAATAAATATTTTATTTTTAAAGAACCCTCGGTCCCTGCAGCTGCACCTTTAGGTCATCCTCAACCCGCATACTGCCAGTAGTCAAATCATGTCCAATTGATCATCCCACAAGAGTCCTAAATGAAATTAAATGCAACCAGCATAACTGAACTACCAGTAGCTGGCAAACTGACACAGGAGCTGGCATAACAACCACCCTGATGTTGATATACCCCTGCAGAATCGGAATCCTAGTGCTTTGTTATCAGTTCCTTGAGAAAACATTTGGATGAACACCTTTCACGGGGATTTTCGCCAAAGGACCGAATGAAACCCCCAGGAGCGTGAGAAAGGGAACGAGAGAAATCTTGACTAATTACTATGCACTCAACTGGTAGCACTAGATCAGTTCGGTTCCCACAAGGCGAAGTCGAGCACTCTGGGGGTGACATAACCCGGTAACCCTCCACCGGGAATCGGAATCCAGAGCCAAGAAGTAAAGCGATCTCGGGGACAGTTCTGAAATACCAGCATAAAAATGAAATAAGCATTTTCAATTCAATTCATTCCTTGAGCCTAACCCTCGTTTTATTATTGTTATGGCCCAACGGCACGCACCCGGTTCTTGGTTCCCAAGTATCCAGAATCGTACCCCCTCCAGCATTTTTAATTCCCCCTCTACTGGCACGCCTGCGTCATGCGAAAGTATTTCCAACAGTTAACGCTGGTGGTGTTTTGGTGGTGGATTTTCAGCACAGTATAAAAGACCGATCCGATCGGCATTACAGCACAGTTCAGTCTGAAGTTCCAACGAGATACGACATCAGTCTCTAAGATCGGTGAGCCGCCACCGTTTTGGTGTGGCGGCCTTAACCGTTCATTAAGAATCCTTAATTAAAACCCATTTCGACAATGAAAAGTTCTTCGATACCGTGAAATTCTCAATTGAAATCTGTAAGTATTAAACTAGTGAGAGCCCTCGAGGTTTCAATAACATTAGCTGGTTTCTCTTTTGCAGGAATACAAGAATAAAACCAATTATTCACGACCTAAACAGTTTATCGCCTGAAAACATTTAAAGTACCCTTCCGGTTGTAACTTTTGTTGTGATAAAAGCAACAGCAAATAGATTAAAGATCTAACTCAAGCTCAACAAGTTAATAGACAATGAATCACCACAAAGCCAATATTATTTCCGCCAGCGCTAAAACAATATAGGGAATTCGTCATTTCCAACGTTTGAAATCTACAGAAATGTAGGGGATATAAAGGTTTTGAAAATTTTTCTTAAAGTATAACAACCGCGAAGATAAGATGTTAAACTTTTCTTAAAAAAATAACAATGAAATAGAGAAAAGATGACCTAGTGACATGCGCTCTTACAAAAAAATCAGCACAACAATTCAAAAGGTATCCTTCAAAAATATAATTTCAACATTTAAAAGCTGCACCAACACTCAACATGTAGAAATGACGACATCCACAAATAATCCTGCGACACAACAAATATGGAAAATTCTTTGGAGACGAATCAACGATCATAAAAATGTTTCTTTCCGAAAATGATTTCCAAACTAAGAAAAGGACTTTAATGCTATTCCATCAGGATCAACCCAAATATCAACAAAAGTATAAATCTTCCAAAATTGTATACACATAAGTTCTACAGTTTTAGAGACAATGTTTATTTAAAAAATTATTTGTGCCTTTTTTAGTTTCCTATTTTTTTTTTTGTTTTGTTGATGTTTTTTGTTAAATCAATTTGAAAGCTATAAATTTGTTGGTCTAACAATATCCTTGATAAAGGTTTCCGTTTCATATAATTTGAAGTAAATGAAGAACTGTTAGGAAAGTTTTCTCAATGCATATTGCCAATAGCAAAGCGTGTTTTTGTTGCTAAATGATTGTTTTATACATGAGATTCCCCGAGCTGTGACTCCTTAATTTCTCACTTAATTTTTGATTTAATTCCCATTTCTTAATACATTCGTGTTCTGTGATTATTATTTTTAAACGATTTTTTTTAATATTCTTCAGTTTTACATTTTTAAAAATAACTGTTTTGTTCGGTTCATTATTTCGGAATTTGGTAAGTGTTTTACTTTTATTATTTTTTATTTTGGTTTAGTTTTGTGAAAACTGTATTTATTACAACATTTTTTAATATTAATATTAATTATGAGTTCTTTTCGTTCAATTTGTAATTTTCGGTCATATTTTGTATTAATATTTAGTAACTGTTTATTTTGTGTTTTGTTGTTATTTTATTACTTTTTCACTTTTATATTTTTATTGTATGGTTTTTTTATTTTTCGTTTATACTTATTTATATTTATTTTAAGAAAAAAATTTTATTTTATCAAATTTTATTTTTATTAGGTATTATAATAAAATGTAAACATTTTGTGTTTTGTATATTTGTTTCTTTAGATTTTTTTTATTTACGTCTTTATTATTATTTCTTTTATTTTGACTTATTTTAATTCTGTTTCTCCATTTTGTTTTGTAAAAAATGACAATACATTAGTGTTGTCTAAAGACTATTGACTAGGCAAATTAACTAATGTTTATTTGTCTTTTTAAGATTTAAAATTTTTTGAGAATTTAATTATTTAATCATTACTGAATTGCCTTTCCTCTTTGATTTTTCCAAGAAATTTTTTTTTTAATTCTACATTTGTTTTTAAGGTTTATGGTTTTAATTTGATTTTGGAAAACAATTTCATTTAAAAATAATCCCATTCTTTTTTATGGTTTATTGACCCTTATTTTGCTTCAGATTAATTTGTATAATTTAAAATAATTTTGCTTCAGAATATTTTGTATAATTTAAAATTCATTGGTATGTTGGTTGTTTTGTATAAAAGTTTTTATTTCTTAAGTTTTATTTAACCAAATAATACCCCATCTGTTATTTCAATATTTCTTTCAGTGTACTTTTTAAGTGTACTTTTTTATAGTTTTCTTTACACATTAAATAAACTAATTTAGGGTTACAACATTTTAAATTTTCTTATTAGTTTTTTAATTTTTTTAGATTTTTTGTTTGTTTAATATGTGTTATATACATGTTTTTTAAATGAATTCAATTTATAATTTTTTTAGACCATTTTGTGCAATTTTTTATTTTTAATCCTATTTTTTTCTAACAATTTAGAAAGTGATACTTTTTTATTTTGTTGTTATTTTATTACTTCTGTTAACTTTTATATTTTTATTCAATGACCCATTTTTATTTTATTTTAAAATGTTTTTTATTTTAACTTTTTTTTTATTTTATTTTTTTTAATTTTTTGTTAAACATTTTTTGTTTTTATCTCTTTTGTTTATCTAAAATTTTGTATGTATTCCGTATGGTCTTAATATTTTTTAATTATGTTATTTTCCTTTATTTGTATATTTCTGAAACTTTTATTAATACAGGATTTGTGTTTTTGGTTTGTAAATTCATTCTTTGTCTTTACCTTTATTTTTCGTTGTTTATTTTGAAGAACAAATTATTGTTTACAATTGTCAGTTAGTGTTATTTATTTCCTTCTTATTAAAATTATCATTTTGATTTATTGTTTATAGTTTTTGTTTTTCGTTTATGTTTCTTGTTTCTTTTATGTTTTAATTCTTTCGTTTTTTAATCAAGCTCAGGGTCGCTCAAGAAGAAAGTTTATTGTATTAATAAAAGTAAATGTATTACCTCCTATTTAAGCATTAATGAAATGAACAATAAAATAAACTGTACTTCCAACTGTAAAATCATGTTTGTTTTCCTTACCCTTACTAAAAAGAGATACTCATTGAGGATCGTTGAAAATGGTTTATTTGAGCAAAGCTGTGCCACACATAAATAGTTTCTTTGGAGACTTATCTTACGAATTACACATAAATACGGACAGTAGGTTACACTAAGCCCTGCCACGCCCACCGGGCGGACATCGCTCCCAGCCGCTGCACTGGAACCGTTCCTGGATTGGGATGTCGTCCGGGGTCCTTGTCTAGTTACTGATCAGCTGTGCCGGAACTTCCCTCGGCGGCTGTCTGGGCTGCTGGGACGGGCATGCTCTGACCACCAGCACCACCACCATTACTTCCACCATTTCCGGCGGCATTCGCCGTGTTTCCTGGGCCGTCCGATGGAGTTTCCGCGTCCCGTTCGAGCAGATAGCTAACGCCTAGAGGACGTGGTCGGCCACCATAGGAAGAGCTACAAGGGGCGACAAGAGAGCAAGCCTATCTTAATGCCGTGACCGATTCCGAATCCGATTCCGTGCGAGGAACATGTGTGGATGCACTCAGTAACAAATAAATAACCTTTAGAAAACATTATATTCGAGTAATATAACAGAATGCTTTAAATATTTTAAGGAACTTTAAGGACTAAAAAGAGTTTTAGTTCTTATAAATTTAAATATAAATAGATTTTAAATTTCTCATATTAAAATTCCTTTTTTTATGTAAAAAAGTAACTCAAATTCAAGGCTATTTTATTTGTCTGAGTGCGCTGATGATACTGTTGCAGGGGCAGCACCCACTGCAACTTACCTCTGTGCATCCCGCTCCCTGTCCCGTTCCCGTTCCCGCTCCCGACTGCCGCCGCTGCCGCTTGAGCCGCTGTTGCTGCTACTGCTGCTGCTGCCGCCCGATGCGCTACTGCTGCCGCTGCTGCCCCCGACCTTATCCTGGTCCCCCAGATATGTCCAACTGCCGGGACCCCCTCCCTCCGAACCAAGGACATTGGTGTGGCCGCCCACTCGGGAACTGTCACTGCCAATGGCCGGGGAGGTGACCTTGGAGCCACCGGCATAAGGACAATTTCCGGAGATGCGGCCGCAGGGTGAGCTCATCGAGGAGGAGGAGGGTCGGGAATAGGAATATCCGTACCCTCGATTCCTGTCACTCTCGTCCTCGTCGGTGGCGAAGTAATAGCCGCGTCCAGAGTTATCGAATCCGGATTGGCCTCTAATCCGTTCAAAGTGGTTGGCCAAACGGAAGCGGCAGTCGAGTGGGGCGGATACGGGGTTTTTTCGGGCGGAAAATAGAGGGTGCAGTGCCAGATGTTGGAGTGCATTACGGATTTGGTTTGGATTGGTATTGCCAGCCGTGGAGCATCCGCAGTGTCCACAGTGTTGTTGTTGTGTGGTGTATTGTTCATGTTGTTGTTGTACACGATGTTGGTGTGGTTATTGTTGTTTGCGTGTTGTTCAGTTGTTGTATGAAAGTAGAGAGTAAAAACGCAAAGAACTCAGAGATAGAAAGCCGGAGATGCAGAGATAGCTGACAACATGGATAAACTTATGTACACAAAAGAGAGCGACGATACCTGTAGGTCTCATCCCAAGGCCGATAGTTGCGAAAATCATACCTGGAGTAGTAGCGATCGTACGGATCGTATCGATCATATCCGCCGGACCTTGAGCGATCGTAGTAGCGGTCTGAAATCGGAAAAATGAGTAGATGTAGATGACAAAAACATAAAATAAAATTGTATTTCTTATATAACTTTTCAAAGCCAAAAAACAAATCAAAATAATTTAGCTTTATATAAACATACCTCTGGAGGACCCCTCGCTATATCGATCACCACCCCCGTAGTAGCGATCCCGATTGTCGTATCCATAGCCACGTTCGCGGTCGTAGGAACCTCCATACCCAGATCCCCTCCTGTAATCATCGTAGCCGCGCCCCTCGTACCGGTCGTAGGTCCTGGGACTATAGCGATCGTCGTAATATCGAGAGCGATCGTAGTATCGGTCGTAGTCTCGGTCCCTGCTGGTGCTACGGTCGTCATAACCGGAGTAATACCAGGTGCTGCTGCCGCGCATATCGTCGCCCGTTCGACTGGCGTATCCGCTATAGTACCGATCACGATCCCGGTCCTCGTAGCATCTCACGCAGCGCGACTGGCGACTCTTTCCGCGAAGCACGGAGTCAAGGATTCCCACGCTCGCGGTAGCCAGCTGCTGATCCTTGGAGTCCACACTCGAACGAGCTTCCGGTCCTGTCACCGCTGACTGGACACAGACGACCAGGGCCAGACAAGACAGCTGGAAAACAGGATAATCATATATTAACTTAATCCAATCAGTTATGCACCACTGTCCAAATACATATAATCTTAGTTCGTTTTTTAAAGATGATCAAAAAAATGATCCAACGTTTGTGATATGCTTAGTAATAATAAACAAACAGTTGTGATTATTTAGTTAGGTATTTCATTTCTTAAATATTTTAAAGTTGTTTATTTCAATAAGAAGTAAATATATAATTTGACTATTTTGCTGCGTTGATCATATTTATTTAATAAACACATTTCCTTTGCAAATGACTAAAACATTAAACAATGCATTTCATTTTTTACCCAGTAAACATTTTTTAGTCATAATATGATAGAGTGGTGATATCATTATAAACAAGATCTAGAAAAGCAGTATAACCACAATAACAAGTACGTAAATGTATAACTTTAGTTTGTAAGCCTCAAATTCAGTGATCTAATTCTAGCCACAGATAACATCCCTTAAAAGCATTCAATTATTTGAATTTATGCGACCGGGAGCACGATCGTCATTAGTTGATTGGCTTTAATTGCCGCTGAGTGCGGGCCTATCGCAATCGGCTAAGCCGGGGAATCAGCCAGCCAATACATATCTCACGGTTCAGCGGCCAACTGGGCCAAAACACAGAGCTCCACGGCAGCCTCCGATCGTAATTGAGGAGGGCACAAAGCCAGGCGCCCTCCGACCACAGATGAACACCGCTAAAATGGACGACAACACCGTGTGGCCAGTCGGCGTGAAATATGATCAGCTCCCCCAGCGATTATGCAATGGATTTTGGGCCAGGCCAGAAGTGGAGCAGCACCAAGTACTCGGGGTTGGCCACATAGCATTGACATCATTTCTAAGCCCGGCTCATGGCTGCATGAATCAGATTTGGAATCTGAATCGGAATCGGAATCATAACTCCACTGGCATATGTTAAAGCCGAAAAATTCGAGAATGGCCAGCCCGAGCAGAGTTAATCATGGAAAATATTTTGCTAGCTGGCCGCCACGCTTTGTTAGCCAAGCATCAGGAACAACTTCCGGCCAGGCCGATGGTGTTGGCTTTGGCATGTGGGGAATGGATCGACGTGACTTGTCACTGACTCTGGCCAACTTCATTAGAATAATTATATTTCGAGCGAGTACCGAAAGGTATCTTTATGAATGTGGCAAATTGTTTTGCTGAGCGGGTCGTTGCCATCGAAAATGTATGAATGAGTTTTTAGGGGCCCTAGTGGATTTCGGTCTCTCTTTGTCTTCCGCAATTTACATAACATAATCATAATATTTCGGGGGTTGCATAATGTGTTCTACAAATGTTACATAACACTATTTCGAGGTCACTTTTAGGAGTCCAACGAGTACGCAAAGGTGAAATACCAGGGAGGATCTAAATGCACTAAAGACGGTTTGTCCTTCTTAACTTTTGTTGCAAGAAATCTCTATTGAAAAGGAAAGAATAATTGTCGGAAACTGATTTATGTTACTTTCTGCACAGGCTTTTGAAAAAGATCTAAGGGTAGTTTTTTTATTATTCACAATACATAAAATGTGATTTGGTGCTCGCGCAGTGATCTATAAAATCAAGGTTCTGGTTTTCTTCTTTAATTTTTTTCATTTTATCAAATTATAAAATATTTAAAAAACAAACGATTTGAAACATTAAATATCTTAATATTTGAATTAAAAAAACAAGCAAAATCTTTAGATGCAAGAAAAAAAGAGTTAGGCATTTTTTTAAATTTAAATGCTTTAAACAATTTTATTTTACTTTTCAATATGTATTGTTATTTTTATGCATCGAAAACACCAAAGATTGCGGTTTAATTGTTTCTGTGTAATTTGCTTAGAACTATACCTTTCTTTAAACTTTTCTTTGAATAATATTAATTTTTGTTTGGTTAGGAAATCCTTTAAAATTCGAAGTTTACTGTTAAATTGTAATAGTATAAACCATTTTGAGTAATTACGTAAGTAGTCAAACTATTTTTTGAACCTTTACGAATTATAAAAACCATATTTTAAACTAAAAACATTTATTTTAAGCTATTGGGATTCTTAGCTGTTAAGCTATTGAAATTTAAATACAAATCCTGTTGCTATACAATTTAAAAAAGAGAAATCATTTTAATTTGAATTCCGGGAAATTCTAAATGATTTCCCTAAGTATTAATGGAGCATCCCGTTGCCTTTGTACAACTCCATGTCTTCAGAACTCACCAACATAATAGCTCGCATGGTGACGCCGCTCCACCTGGTTCCACCGAATCGATCACTAATTTAGCACCTGGCACACGTGTGCCTCTCCAATCTTGGGGTAAGGCCGAAAATATCCTTTTCACACTGTATCACAACGAGCCAAAGCTTCTCGAACTGGCGTCAGACCGCGAATGATCTGGCCGGAACGGATGGCTCCGTATTTATTTCAACTCTAACCCAAGCTTTGGGTTCTGCCCGAGCCGAGAGCACTGAACCGCGATCCCAGCCCCGGATCATCGTGGCTATTAGAGGTGGTTTTGCCTTTCGGTGGTAGTATAGTGCTGGTGGTGGCTGTGGTTCGCTGGCATTCGTGGCTAAGGTGTTGGCACTCGGTGTTTTTCTCTTTTTTCGGATTGGGCTGGGACGACGATTTGTCACTTGGCCTGCTCCAACACCTTGGATTTGGGCGGGCTCTGCTCTCGTTTCATGGTCAGTTTGGCTTTCGGAGAATGACAGGTAGGATGTGCCCGAAAAACGCCTTGATTGTCTCATCGAGAAACGGGCTAATTATGCGTCTGTTGCGTAATGCCCAACAGAACACTCCTGTGAAATTATCTCGGATTATTCCGACTTCTCAGGCGGTGATTCACTGAGACCTGACTCAAATACTCAGCATGAGATTAGCATTTCCACTTCCTACTGGAACAAAACACTTTTCAGCGCTTACATAATCCACGACTGTGACCATGAAAAGGCTTTCCACCTGAAGACGTCCCAAATTAAGAAATCTTTGGGAGTTAATCAGAAAGACTTTGAATACCCTTGAATAAAAACATGATTTAAAATTTTAGGTTTTCTTTAACATACTTTAATTTATCCAAACCCAAAAGGAATTAAACTTGTAATGACTTGACTAAAATTATTAAAAATACAAAAAAACCAAAAACAATTCGATTAGCGATTAAATTTAAAAATAACTACAAATAACAGAGTAATAAACCAAGTAAATATTTTAAATATTATCAGTTTAAAATGCGGAAAAATTCGTTAGAATGTGAAGATTGAACCGTTAGTACAAATCAATTTGTTGAAAAAGAATTGCTGCTATCAAAGCATGACAAATTACCTTACAAAAAATAATATATGGTCATTGGAGGAGTCGAAATTCCGCAGGTGGCGCTGTGCATCACCTTCTTCGTCTGCTTGCTCACTGAACCCCTGGCAAAGGTCGTTGGCATCGTCCATAAAAACCATAACCAACCAATGAAAAAACAACAACCAGGCGACAAGTTTAATTAAACACTTTAATTTAGTTTTTACAAAGCGCGCAACAGTCTGGCAGATTTGTTAGGCTCAGTTTGAGATACGGGTTCGATATGGCACTCGTAAATATATAGTTTCTTGGGCTCTGGAGATTGCATCTAGTTTGCTTCATGGAAGAACAATTTGTGATGTGTGTGTGTACAGTGCGATTTGTCATTGTGTGTGGCTCTCTCGAGGGCGCAACAAGATCAACAATTAAGCTAATTCAACGAGTCTGCTAAATACGAGTTATTGTCTCAAGTTGTACAAACTTTATAGCCTACAGTATGTGTGGTTGCATGTGTGAAAAGTGGCAGTGGTTGTAATGATTTGGTTATTACAAAATTTTAAGCTAAAGCAGGCCAAGATAAAATAAAATATATTTACGGGGAACGAAGAAGAAGTATCACAAATATTTGTTTATTCTACCTAACAAAATAAATATTAAATAATTTCAAACATAATCATTTTGAATTTTTAATATAAAAGTAATTAAAAAGTAGCTGTAGAAAAAGGCAATGTAATACGACAAGGGTCGATTTCTTAATGTCGTTTTAACTTTTAACTAGAAGGTTAACATAAAATTGAGAAATGCCCTTCAAAGACATGAAAAATATAAATACAACGAAGTTGCCTAGATATTTAAGCTAGATCACTGCTATCCTTTCACACACACTTGAAAGATAGAGAAGCCAAGCGATTGGTGATACATAAGAGATAGTCCAGTATCACGATAACATCTTTGCCGCATTAGCGGCTGCTATATCATCCCGGAAAGCCAGGAATCCAAGTTGGGCGTGCGAGGCCTCGTTTAAGGCCCTCGATCGTATGCAAGCGCGATACTGATCGGCTGTCAGCGAACTGGAACAGATCTGTTAATCAATAAAATTAGAGTGTTCCTTTCGGGATGAGGGATAAATATCACAATACCTTGGTGTGCCAGCGGTGGAAGATTCCCGGATCCGTGGCCCTGATGATTTTGATCTTGGAGCGGACATACTTTCGGTAGAGCATCACATCCTCGCCGCCCCATCCCACGATCTCCTCCTCGTCGAAGCCGCGCACCTGCAGGAAGTTCGAGCGGTACTGACAAGTCATCCCGTAGCCAAAGTCCCGCCAGAACCCGGTGTCCCGCGATATGACGAGCTGCTCCTCTTCGCCAGGCAAAGGTTTGCCCTGCAGCGAGTATACCACATGCGGGTTGTATAGGCTGAAAACCACCGGGTAGTATACCTATATGTTAGACACCGAATATATAAATAAATTTAAATGTTATTTTTTTAATCTTTTATAACATATATATTTACCTTCTTGCCTGGAGCGGCATTCCAGCGACAGCGCTCGAGGAATCTGGTCGTAAACATAATGTCAACGTCGCACATGAAGAGTAGTACGTCCTCTCCTGCTGGTTGAATATGCTCCGCTCCCAGTCTCAAAGCTTTGGCTACAATAAAAACAGAAAATATTTCCATTTGGATTTACCATTTCAAATAATTTTAAAATATTTTATAATGTGCCGGTGCTTACCCCTGCTAAAAGTCTCATTTAGAGCCAAGAACTGTGTCCTTTGCGATCGTCCTGCCAATCGTTTGGCTTGGCTTAATCCACTGGTTCCAAAGTACACCACAATGAGCTCCAATCGACGATCTTCGAGCCTTGCGAACATCTGCAGGAAGCTGCGAAAGCTGTGCAGACGTCCTGACAGAGGTAATATCACATGGATCACGGGCGAACTGTGACTTGGATCGGCGCTACCACTGTCCAAACTGGATGATAGCTCCGATAGCTGTACAGTTTGTAGGGGAGCAAAGGGTCGCATGACCAGGGCTCTTCTCACAGGACTCGTCTGGTGCTTTACACTCTGGAAGTACAGCTCGTACTGGGTGCCTGTGGTGGGTTCGTTGCGATATATTCCCTCTATAAAATCATCCAGAGTGTACTTGATGACATCCGAGGAGTAGCCCCCGGAAGAACCAGCTCCCTTTGCTCGTATCCTCGCCGAATGATTCCGGTTCAGGCTCTCCAGAGCCTTGTTTACAGCCTCGATGAGGTCGCGTCGTCGGTAGCCGATGGGTTTCTCCACCACGCGCTTGCCCAGGCCCAAATCGATGGGATACACCCGGGTGAAGGTGAAGTGATTGTAGGGTATCAGCTCGTACTCATTGTTCAGTGGCAGTCCGTGCAGAATTTCGGCGGCACCCACCTGTTTGCGAATGTAGCTGCTGCAGTCGAAGTGGTGACCCAGCGGTGCAGTTGGTGGACCCACGGTGGTTTCTTGCAGCTGGAGACTGCCATTGGATATCTTGGCAGCACTGCGGTTATTTTGCAGAAACAGAATCTGAGTTCGCAGGGCCAAAACCTCCTGTTTAAGCCGCTCAATTTCCGCCTCCCGTTCGCTTATCGCATAACTAAATCCACTAGATTCACTGGGATTATTGGGTTCCGTTTCCCTCGCCGAAATTTCATCGAATCCGCATTTTGTGAGCACTACAATGGAGGCACCTGTCACCAGGGCGAACAGCAGCAGCAGGCGCAGCAGCAATTTGGAAACCAGCGAGTTATGCATTTTCCATAGTTCTTTTAAGGTCATCTACCTGAAGATTTAACATATTTTAAAGACGTTAACTATTTATATATTTTTCTGGCCATTACTTGGGAGATTTTGGCAAAAAGTGGTAGGTTTAGTTTATTATAATTGAATTACGCACTGAATAACTTTTAAATTACAACGAAATAACAAAAATTATAATTAAATCAAGATCTAACATTTCACATATTTTTTATTTTTAAAGATAGTATTAAGGCAGTGACGTACTCGACTAAATTTGATTTTTTAATGTTTTGTCTATATTTTCTTGTTTATTATTTTCTATTTTTACAATTGTAATCACATTTTCATTTACAAAACCTAGAAGGGTATTAAAATTTCAGGTTGCCGTTCTTGTTTAAATTGGTGTGGGAGAGTATAACTTCGGTTACGATGAATATAATCCAAGTAAACATCGCAGTGATAAAGCGAATATTTTAATAAAGTGATACACTAGTGACGAATGCACTTTCACCATTCTCAAATACAATTTTACACACGCGACGGGATTATACATACACTTTACACACTTTTTATACAAGCCATGGCAGCCCAATTCACTGGTTTGAGTCTTCGGTTTAGGGAGGATTTTGTTTTGATGTTTCTCTGCCGATCACTCCAGTTAAATAAAATAAACAAATTGAATTAGAAAATCATTAGGCAGTAATAAATGGAATTAATTTTTGTTCGAGAATATTTAAATAAATTAGAAAGGGGAAACTAAAATGAAAAAAAAATATGTTAATTTAATTTTTTTCTATAAAACATAAATTCTACCGCCAACTTCCTTGATATATTTAAACTCGGGCATATTCAATATAATAAATACACTTTTTCAAAATCAATAATTTTTTGGCAATATCGATAGTACAGAAAAATCGATACTTGTTCCAGCTCTAATATTTAAAAACGGTCACACTCTGATCACAAGCTGATATTTATAAAAAAATAATTGTGCTATTTAAGAGCCAGCCGCAAGTTTTCAGTGGAAAACCCGAATTACACAGCAGTATTTTACAGACACATTGTCAGGGTAAGTGCTCAGGGGGTGGTGGGTGGTTGGGGGATGGTTTTCCGGCCATGTAAACTGGGTTTGTTGGCAGTGCGGCATGCAACAAGTTCTTTTTTCGCCCAGTTGGTGATGGCATTTCTCCAAATCGAGTGATTCATTGGCCGAATAGATAAGGTGTGCGCTGCGTTTTGTTTTCTTTCTTTTTTTGTACTTGTAATCTTTATATTTGCGGGTGTGCGTATGACGGGGATATGGCATTCTACTTAAAAAGCAGCTAATAAAGGCCTTTCTTTGGTTAATTTCTCCCCCGCAGCAACATCATAATGGAGAACAACGAAGCCCCCTCCCCCTCCGGATCCAACAACAACGAGTAAGTGGTGGAAATCCATCGAATCAACAGGCTCAGCGCACAAAAGCAAGGAAAATCCCATTAAGTGACGTCATTTGTTTCTGACGGGGCAAAGCAAACCGGAAATAAAGTCTGTGTTCGGATTTCGGACTTTGAAACAGCCTAGAAGTTATAATATTTCTGCATTAGCCACAGAGTAGTGCTCATTTTAAGCTGAGATAATAGAGTCAGACTTTTATTTTAATTTAAAAGACTCGGAAATAGTGATCAATTCTTTGATCACCGTATATTCGAATTTTTAAATAGTCAGAAGATTTAGTTTTCATAAAAAAAAACATAAAAACAAACAAAATTGTGGAGCCAAACCCAAAAGATTAGCTCTTAGTCACGAATTCAAGTATGTTTCATATAAATTCCTAGGAAAACAAGGTTTTTGGGCTCTTTGCTGGCAATTTCTAAAACTACTTGAAACTAAACTGAAATTTTAATATTTAATTTTAATTTTGCCGGTTAGACACAGAAGGATTAAAGGTCGTCCAAATCTGATCCTTAAGAATAGAAAAGAAAGAATTTTCGGTATACAATTGCCTCACAGACATGCCTCCATATATCAAGAGTAATAATGGTAACTCCTTATCGGGCGTGAATTTTTTTTTGCAAACAAAGGGGTATATAGATCTCCTCAAAAAATCCGCTTTTGTGCTCTGCAGCTGGATGATCTATCTGCTGCCCTTCATAAGTGTAAGCATCCCCCACATACACACATAATATTGTACAGTTTTCCCATACTTCCGCCGCCGCCGAACGCGAATGACAACCACTACAACCAATTTGGGGACCATCAAATCAGCAACAACAATGCGGCCAACAAGCGGCTGCAACAGACCCAAGCCAAGGTGGACGAGGTGGTCGGGATAATGCGCGTGAACGTGGAGAAGGTCCTGGAGCGGGACCAGAAGCTATCGGAGCTGGGCGAACGGGCGGACCAGCTGGAGCAGGGCGCCTCCCAGTTCGAGCAGCAGGCCGGAAAGCTGAAGCGCAAGCAATGGTGGGCCAACATGAAGATGATGATCATCCTGGGCGTCATCGCCGTCGTGCTGCTCATCATTGTCCTGGGTAAGTCTGCCGATTTTACACCGCTTCGGCTTTTGCTTTCTGGGGCTTCTGGTTGTGGTTTTTATCGATCAGGCTAAAGATCAGTAGTGTAGCTAGGTGGCTGGTTTGGTTTGGTATTGTAATTTCTACACATAACGCAAGTCGACGCCCTGCTAACGCCCTAATCTTGCTCAACCTGTGGTTTCGGCTCTCTAGCAACTAATCTATGCGGGCCACAGCTAACTAATCCAATAACAGATACTCGTACTCGTACTGATGACAACCCGTTGTGAATTTCTGTTTACTTGCAGTGTCGCTTTTCAATTGATACAATTAAACACATACACAGAAAAACAAAAGCAAAGCCAACAAAAAATCAAAATGCAATTCCGTTTCCCATACAGTAAAGTTAAGGTTCAGATTAATCGTTAAATACGTTTATGTACGTGTACCCGGCTCCTACTATATACACTTAAAATTGTATATTATATTTTATAAACGTCTTAAGCTAAGCAACTTTAAAACTCTGAAGGTAATTGTTGTTTTTGTGTCTGTCCTAAGTGTTAATTATCATTATGTTTGTTTAGTATAGAGTAGTGTGGGGAGATTAGGGCCTCGATGTGTACGTGTGCAAAGTCGACACTAAAGACTATAAAAAAATATTTCGTATAGTTTAATTTTAGAAGAAGGCGATTAATAGTCTTAGCAACGGCATTAAAAATAAAATAGTAATTATTATTATATCCAGCAATGTCGGTACCACGTTTGCTCTCAGGCTTGTAAAGAAAAAATTATATATATATTAAATGATATTAAATATTAAATTTCGAGAATTGGTAAAGACACTTGAATTTATTTTGTTAAAACAATTACCGGTGATATTTAAATTTAATGTTTTAGACGATAGATTTTATTAATAAACATTTTTATTTGAGATGTTAGGTGTAATCCCAAAACAACGTTAACTTATATTCAGTATAAAAAGTATTTTATCAATGAACCATTAGAAGAAACTTTTTTAGAATATTAATATTATTGTTCGTATAATGGTTTTGTATAACTGTTCGATTAGAAGCTGATCAGAAAAGATTCTTGTGACTTATTTCTTGTCGCAAAGTAGTGGGATTAATAGTTTGATGATGAGAAACTTCATAAGGATAAACCAAATTGAATCCAAGTAAACCAAGTTCAAACATCTAACTATGTGTTCTCCCTTTTTAGTGTCCGTTTGGCCATCTAGCAGTGACAGTGGCAGCGGTGGAGGAACTAAGGCCTTAGCCACCCCGGCACCGCAGCACTAAAGGCCTCCACGGGAGTGAGGTAAACACACGGATACGGAATGGAAAAGGACCAAACAACCACATCGGGACGGAAACCTTTCTGGTCTTTTCGCGCAATCAGAGAGAGGGAAAGATGGAGAGGAAAATCAAAAGGATAACTTACTAAAATTGCGTCTAGCATATATTTAACCAGAATGTAATTATTAAAACTTAATGTTAAACGTAACATTTCTACGTATTGTAGCCGAGACCAGAGGTCCCCTTAAATGTGTATTGCATATGTACAATTATATATACGTGTACGTCATCCAATTGAAAATACATCAAGCCACCTACACTAAAACCTGTCGAGGAAAGTCCGCCGGAGTTTTGTCGAAACGTTTCACGGACAAAGCCATTTATTTACATTCAGCGACGATGGTTAAATTGCGCGTGCCAAGAAATCAGTTATCGATTTTCCGGCAATCCGAATTGAATCGAGACAACTGAATTCGCGCCACTCAGACAAACTTGTCCCATCCACATCGAGCAACTGACGAGAGGAAACCTCGTTCCGCGTAAACATTCCGTCCCAGCTGTTCCGATAGTCCGCGCATGCGTCCCACTCAATCGGTGTCTGACCGATAAAATAGGTACTTGAATATACCCCCAATGTTCGCGTCCCATCCCATCAGCTCCAGAAGAGAGGCAGTTGTCCATACGTAGCTCATGTACAGGGCGAAGAAGTTCAGGTAGTAGAGCTGGCCGATCAGTATGTAATCCCCGTTTGATTCGTAATGGTAGAAGTGTGGCCTTCGCAGCGAGGCGGCAAAGACAATGACGAACTGCGGGGAAAGGTATCGAGCAAAAGTATTCTTCAAAATGATCTTAAGCACTTAGTGGGGTAGTATATCATTACATTTCCTTAACGCTTACCACGTTTGAGATCATGGTGTACAAAAGCAGGGTGGGAAACTCTATCACAACGCGCTTCATTTCGGCACACACTATGATGCCGAAGCAGGTGAGCACAAATATCCTCTCGCTCCACAGGATCACCTTGTTCCGGGTGGTCTGGGGTAAAAGAGGTAAGAGTCGGTGACTCCAACAAATTGTTCACTTACGAAAAGACCCCTTTGGTGTTTGACTGCCTTATTTCCGTATACTACACTGATGATCATCATGAGGAATGTGAGGAAGAATGACACGACGAGGCTTATGTACGGGGCTCGTTTGGCGGGCTTCATGATCGACATGGTGTTCACCTCGTACTGAGGAGAAAAGTTATCCGGGGAGGAATATTAAAAGGTGAGACCATCCACTCACCGTCCAGAGGCCCGCCAGTACCCGCACCCACATGGGCTTTTTCACGATGAGGTGGTAGAAGAAACCGTAAAGCTGAATGGACAGGAAGCTGACGAGGAATTGGACCAAGCTGAGGTAGTAGCGTTCCGCCAGAAAGTCCTTCAGGGGCTTGCTGCATGAAAGGATGAGTTGGAAGCCCTATCAAGAGGCTGCGGAGTCTCGACCTGGGTCCACTACTCACATCTCCATGGCCACTGATACCTGAATCTGTCCGATGACGAGCATAATAATGGTCACCTTGTATGTGGGTCCTATCAAACTCTTCCGGCGCGGTCGGGGGCTTTCAGGCAACATATGTACAGACGCTCTAGGTCTGGAACTGTTTTTGGAGTGGCTTGTTTCGATTCACATCTAAATTTAAGGAAAAAACATCAAACTATCAGAAAAATAAATGCCAACTGTTCTGACCGCCATTGGGGTCGCGATAGGTTGGAATTTACGGATAATGGGGACCTTTCTGATGATCGCCAAGAATTTTCACAAGTCTACATTTTAAATTTATAAGCTTAAGGCTCAGATGACACATGGGTAAGAATTTCTCAACTGCGCATATGAAATTTTAGATTTTCTTCAAACTCGGGTACTTCGTAGAGTTTGGCTTGGTTATCATTTGTGATTTTTTAAAAATTTTTTGGTGTCCATTTGGGGGCGTTGTTAATTTTTGAAGTTAAGAACTTAAAAAATGTTCTCAAACTTTAATTTAGTATATCTCGAGAACGGCTTAGAAGAACAACGTGCAACTTTACACGTTTTTAAATGTGTACTGGGCGAGTTAGAAAATAATTATCTTACATTTTTTATTGTTTAATAAGTATGAATTTTAATTATTTGAAATTTTTTATCGCGCTTTTGAATGTCTTCTTCATGCTATAAAAGAAACTTAACCATCCAAGATTGTCCACCTCATAAGCAACTTAATTTACCCGAAGAAACATTTTTGTTCCCTTTCATCATTTCCAAGATATATAATTTTTTATGCGAAGTTAGAAAAACCCTATTTATATTTCCAATGAGTACAATTCTTACATGTTTAAGATGAAAGTTTGGACAACTCAATTACTCACTGATATTATGCACATACAGTTGCGAAAAAAATAATAGCACCACTTCGTCACAGGCTTTTAACATTAAACAAATATGTGGAAAACGGGGATTTTTATATAAGAAGTGTTTTTTATTATCTTGATTAGTATTCAACCTATTTGAAAAAATTGATACGGATATCAAAAATATTGTCTACATATAATTTTTTTCAGATTTTAAGAAAAAAAGTCAAATAAATGCCGAAAAAAATAATAGCACCACTTCCGTTTTCTTTAAATAAAACGTTACGATGCGCTAATATTGTTGTGTATAAAGGATATATTTTATGAGATTTGACTAAAACTTACTTTTCCTGATATCCAGACATCAAATTGATTACCATTTGGCAATACAAGGACATGTGGAAAATTTTCCAAGTCGAAAAAGAAAAATATTCAAAAAAGAAACATATTGGATGGAAAACGGTCATGAAAACCGGTTGGATTGGTTAGGTTTTGGATCATCTTCATTAAGAATGGCATAAACTTTGAAGGATAACACAGAAAAACCGAGTCCTGGCACATTTTTCCTTTCAAAATGTTATATCACAAAGCACAAAGAATCATATCAGGGCCAAAACTAAATCAAAACACGTGCTTAAAATAATAGCGAATATTTTAATAGTTGGATAATGTTTTAATAAACAAATTTATAAAATAAGGACCTTAAAAAAAAAGTCCTATCCGAAATGCGAAACACATTTACAAGGGCATAGGGCTCGTCAAAAAAACTTACAAATGAATGCCCGCAAACTTATGAGAATGTGTGAAGGCAAAGTTAAATTGGGTAAGAAAAAATCCTTTTTATAAGTCATGTGTATTCTAAACACCTAAATTGACCAAAAACATGGTACCAAAACATGCATTTATTGAGCATGGACCTAGTATTAACATAGGCTTGTTTTTCCTTCTTGAAGTAAGATCAATACGGATGAATACATCGTTCATGAATCATCCTATGATGTAAATAGTAATACGGTAGTAATTCGTAGCTTAAACTGATAACAAAATACTTCTTAAATGAATCTTTGACCAATAAAATCCGGCCAGGATCACGGTCAGGATAGCAAAGAAAGAGTTCGAAAGTACTCAGTCAGCAATATACAGTGACTTGTGTACTCGCTTGACCATAACACAACCAAAAATCTTCGAGTTTTTTTTTTAAAGACAGTTTATACAGTTAATCTAAAACGTCTTAAATCATTTCCGAATAAATTTGAAAATATATCATGACTTTTGGGCCCCAATTTCTTTATAGATAGGCCCCTGACTTGTTTAATCGATGGTAAGTCATTATATCCAAAAATCGCAAAAGATATTTACACTGTAAACTTAGATTTACTTGTTAGCTACCGCCAACTAAAGATTAAGTTACCCATTTGTCATTTTTCTACCTTTTTTATCTATTTTTAGAGAAGTGGTGCTATTATTTTTTTCGTACGTTTTTCTAGTTTTGCACAGATTTTCTTAAATAAGTCCAGAAACCTTTTATAAAGCTAACATTTTTTTTCATATTTAAATTATGTTTAGTCTTACTATTTAAAACCCGTTTTAAAAAGTTAAAAAATGTGAGTAGGGTGACTAGTTAAAATTTTGTTGGGTTAGTGGTGCTATTATTTTTTTTCGCAGCTGTATATTAATATCATAATTTTACCACCGTCCCTTCATATAGCTGCCATACAAGTTGATGGATTTTCTTATTGTTAAGAAGGTAGGCTTTGAAAAAATTTTTTGTTTCAGATTGTAATTTTAATTTTTCAAAGCCTACCTTCTTAACAATAAGAAAATCCAAAATAAGAAAAACCATCAACCTAGATCGACTCGTCTAGTGACCCTGATCAAGAATATATATACTTTATGGGGTCGGAAACGTTTCCTTCTAGCTGCTACATATGTACTTTTGCACGAATACAATATACCAGGGATCGTAAATAATCATTATTTGAGATTTTTATTTTAAAAGGCCTACTGAGGTTTTTACAAGTATTTATCAACAATTTAACTGGTTTTTATGCACTTTATAGACAGGAACCAATAACAGTTAATTTGCTTTCCAGATTTGTTGAAATGCATATACTTTGTGGACAAGAGTAAAAAGAACGTTATTTTTGACGTTTAAAACCAAATATCACAGAAGTCTTTTTAAAATAAAAATCTCGAATAATGATTATTTACGGTCCCTGCGATATACCCTTTTACTCTACGAGTAACGGGTATAAAAATCCTATCCTAAATGCAGATTGGGTGTGTGTCTTTGCTAATCGTGTGTATTTTGTTGTTGTGGAATAACTATTTACTTAGTAGAATTGACAATTTTGCTGGATGGGGCCTGTTTGACAATTATTACATTTGATCTTACCAATTTTTTTTTTTTTGTATGTATGACAATACAATACAGTACAATAAGAAAATAAATACGCCGGCAAAGTCTACAAAAACAGGATGGTGGCAACGGGTCTTGCAGATTTAGCAATTTGAACAAAAAGCCGCAAGCAATTCTTAGCAAACAAACACTCGTTGCATCTTTGCCTAAAGAATCCGAAACATTTTAAGTCTTAAAAAACACAATTAATATTCCGGGTCACAAACGAAAGGAAGAAGGAATTAGAGGTGGGAGTAACTAGGTTCATATCGATTGTGCAGCCCTGCCTTACATTTGAGGCGGAATTACAAAGTGTATAGGGTATTTCATGTTGAAGCCGTTGAGTTTCGGTCACGGTAAATCACCGCCACTTTGTAAAATTCCGGTAATAGACTACGAACTAATTCTTTAGATATGAAAATAAGAAGCATATTTTTTGTTTCCTTAGATAAGTAATACTTTTAGGCGGTAAATAAAATTAAACATAATGTGATTGAAATACTATAAAATTGCAGCCTTTTGCAGCTGTCTTAATATTCAACATGGAACAATTGTGGGTTGATCCCTTTATCGCTAAAATTGTCTGTACAAGTTAAATTTAATTTAAGACACCTTCTGCATAATTAAGCGGGAATATAAGGTATAGGTTCTTTCTTTCCCAAAATTAGCTATAATCTCTTTATTTTATTTCTCTACCGATATTTTTAAATTTTTATTAATTATAATAAAATTTAAAAAAAAAATCGGTTTGTGCTTAGAAAATTATTAAAACTAGAATTGTAAAGTTTCAAATATAAACTTAAGTGTTCTAAAAACTAAATTTAGCTAAATAACTAAACAGATGTAAATCTGCCTTTGGGAAAATATATAAATAAAATTCGATTTGGTTCATAATCACTAATGAGAGAAATCACGATAGAATTCGAAAGTCACGATAGAATTCGAAAGTGTTGACCAGCACTGGAAAATAGGAAGCTTTAATCGGCTCCATCGATAAGTTTTCCACAACTCTGTTATCGTGCGCCGACAGCGAATTAAAAACTCTAATTAAGGCAAGTTCCTCCTTTTTATTATAGCTTTAAGGTAATTTCTTAGTTTTTCAGATGGACAACAAGTCCTTGGGGCATAGACGCCGCGCAGGAAGTTCCAGTGCCAGACGTGGAAGAGAACGCGCTGCTAGGACCAAGACAACCGCTCCTGTTGATACATATTCCACAGGTCGGCCGTTCTGGACCAAAGACGAATTTGATACTCTCACTAAGGCAAGTCCATCGTTTTCCTCATAGTTCTAAGCTTATTGATTAGTTTTCCAGATGGACAACAACAAATCCCTGGGTCGTGGACTCGGCGCAGGAAGTTCTAGTGCCACACGTGGAAAACGGAGCTCCGTTAGGCCTAAGACAACTGCTCCTATCGATACATATTCCACAGGTCGGGCGTTCTGGACCAAAGACGAATTTGATACTCTCACTAAGGCAAGTCAAGTCTATGGTTTTCCTTATAGTTTTAAGCTTATTGCTTAGATTTCCAGATGGACAAGGACAAATCCATGGGTCGTGGACTCGGCGCAGGAAGTTCTAATGCCACACGTGGGAGTCGACGCTCCGCTGGGCCTATCGATACATATTCCTCAAGACGGCCGTTCTGGACCAAAGACAAATTTGATACTCTCACTAAGGCAAGTCAAGTCCATGGTTTTCCGTATAGTTTTAAGCTTATTGCTTAGTTTTCCAGATGGACAAGGACAAATCCCTGGGTCGTGGACTTGGCGCAGGAAGCTCCAATGCCACACGAGGAAATCGACGCTCCGCTAGGTCCAGGACAACACTGGTACAAATGGACAACAAAAAGCCCATGGCTCGTAATCGACGCGTCGCTAGTCCAAAGACAACCCCTGGTACCAGCTTCAAACGCGAGAAAATAGAACAAAATTGGTACAAGGCTACCGTTGCTCCTAAGGACGGTGTACCAGCGGTTCGGAAGGAAATGAACAAGAAGATAGACCTTGACTCTAGCTTTGAAATCTTCCAAGGGAAAAGGAAAAAAGTTTCCTTTGTCTCTGAACTCGACAATCAAGACACTTGCGTCTTGTCGCAGGATGACTTTATTGATTTCCCTGACCAAAGAAAGAGGAACAAAGTTCCCATTGTCTCTGAACTGTCCAAGAAGTCCATGGCTCGTAACCGCCGCGCCGCTAGTTCCAAGACAACCCCTGGTAATAGTCTCAGGTCTTCCTTGAAGTCGGGACCTTTGACGCGTAGTGGATACAAACGCGAGAAGATAGAAGAAAATTTGTACAAGACTACCGATGCTCCCAAGGACGGTGTGCCAGACCTTCGAAAGAAAATGGACAAGAAGATAGACCTTGACTCTAGCTTTGAAATCTTCGAAGGGAAAAAGAAAAGATTTTCCTTTCTCCCTGATCTGGAGAGTCAAGACACTTTTGTCTTGTCGCAGGATGATATTATTGAATTCCCTAAACAAGGAAAAAGGAACAAAGTTTCCTTTGACTCTGAACTGGAGAGTCAAGACACTTTTGTCTCGTCGCAGGATGATATTGTTGAATTCCCTAAACAAGGAAATAGAAACAAAGTTTCCTTTGACTCTGAACTGTCCAACAAGTCCATGGCTCGTAATCACCGCGCCGCTAGTTCCAAGACAACCCCTGGTACCAGTCTCAGGTCTTCCTTGAAGTCGGGACCTTTGACGCGTAGTGGATACAAACGCGAGAAGATAGAAGAAAATTTGTACAAGACTACCGATGCTCCCAAGGACGGTGTGCCAGACCTTCAAAAGAAAATGGACAAGAAGATAGACCTTGACTCTAGCTTTGAAATCTTCGAAGGGAAAAAGAAAAGATTTTCCTTTCTCCCTGATCTGGAGAGTCAAGACACTTTTGTCTTGTCGCAGGATGATATTATTGAATTCCCTAAACAAGGAAAAAGGAACAACGTTTCCTTTGACTCTGAACTGGAGAGTCAAGACACTTCTGTCTCGTCGCAGGATACTGTTATTAAATTCCCTAAACATTTCTTGGATTCTGAACTGGAGAATGAAGACATATTACCGGATAAGTATAACCTAACATTTAAGAGAAGGAACACTATTGTCTTTTCGCCGGATCTATCATTTGAAGCCTGTTTTGGTTCACCTAAACATGACATATTGGCAAACGCAGATGTCGCTGATGCTGGCGATATAAACTTGGACGATTCCTTTGATCTTCCGAAACCAATTATTAATTTCGATATAGACGAAGATATCCTTGATGAGGACTTTAATTTAGATGTTAAAGGAACATTTTCCGACAATTATGTCGACGAAAAGAAGAACCAGCGTGCTGGCTTTAAACGTAAGAGAAACGACTCTATATTTTTTGAAGACGGCCCAAATGACCAAAACAGGAATCAGCGTGCTGCCCTCAAACGAAAGAGGGTGAACTCTTTCATGTTCGAAGACGATCCAAATGACAGGAAGAAGAATAAGTGTGCTGGTTTTAAACGTAAGAGGAGGGACACTTTATTTATGTCCCTGGGAGAAGATCCCAATGTTTCTCTAATGGATAGTCAGGACCTAGATCCGAACAAGGATGAGGCACCTGGGACAAGTCATTGGAGCAACCTTAAAGGTTCTTTGAAACGTGGAATGGCTTTGGTGAAGTGTAAACGCAAGGAGATGGACGAAATCTTGAAAACGGTGGAAGATGACGGTTCTGAGAGCGATTTCTTTTCAGATGACGATGATGATTCATTGTTCCAAGGTTTTCCCCAAGATCTTGTTAAGCAGATAACTCAGTCAATTCCAAGAGAGGAGAGGTTAAAGACCAGAAACACCGTTTAGTTCGGGACAAGTTGAATTCCGATAAAGGCAAGATTAAGCCAAACGTTATTGAAACAACTAATATCTTATTTAAGGATAACATATACGATCCTCAAAGTAAATTTAGAACCAAATAATCAAGAAAAGCGTGGAACAACACTGCACTAGTATAAATACCAGTGAAAACTATTTAGATGTTGAATATTTCGTAAACCATTATTGGAAAAGGTAACTACACTTTAATTTAAAGGTAAACGCGAACACGAGAAATATATAATCTAAAAATTAAAGATCTCTTATGATATTTATCTGCTTTATAACATAATAACATTTGTAAACAATTTTTGATAAATGTAACCACACTTTATTTTAAAGTCTGAAAAAAGAACATATATCGAGAAATTTATGTAAATAACAGAGAAACTATTTAGATGCTAATTCGTTAAAGTTATCAAATGATATTTTTCCCCTATATAACTAATTTTCGTAAACCATTTTTGTAAAATACAACAGCACTTTAATTTAATAGATGGACAAGAAAAACAAAAATTAAGAAATTCCTGAAATGAAATTGATATTTTATAAGTACAAGGAAACCTATTTCGATTTTGACGATTATGGTATTGTAACCACACTTTTATTTAAAGTCTGAAAAAACATAAAATGTTATTTATTATGATAAATTATATTTATCAAACGAATAGCTATATTTCGTAAAGCATTTTTGAAAAATGTAATTTAAGTTGCAAAAAAAAAATATCGATGAATTCTTGTAACACTGCAACGTTATAAACAGCAGTAAAAACTATTCAGATGTCGAATCATTCAAACGTATACTTCTACCATTTTTAATGAAGGTAACCATACTTTAATTTAAAATGCAAATCAAAAATCTGATTTGTGTATAACTCGTTTATTTCAATTTTTCAATTACAAAAGTGTTCTAATTTTCTTAGCATTACAATAAAAACTTGTGAGCCTGCTGGCGACTAAGACTTGTGTTTCTTTGTAAAAACATTACAAAACACAATTGGGCGGTTCTTTTGCAAACTGAATGGATTTGGGCAAAACAAAAAATGCACATTTTTGATTTGCCTGAAACTTTTTTTTACGTGTACTATTCGGAAAATTAGTAAACACGTGTATTAGGATTTGGCCGAAAAAAATATTTTTTTAAAGAATTTTTTTAGTTTGCCATAGAACGTGAATTTTAAAGAAGTTCCCTCTTATTGAAAATCTGAATCTCCGATTGTAGTAATCCGGTTGACTTCGTGTCTTTTGCATTAATTCCTCTAAAACTACTTCTTAAAAATAAAAACAAGGTTCTTGCAAAAAAAAAAACAATTTGTTAAAATTTGTTTTCTTGTAGATTAACATTTTAAGATTAAACAAAAAAATGTTTAAGTCAATCGGACAAAAACTTTAGAAGTTATGCTAAACTTAGTACCCTAACCTCTTAAACTTTTGGAACGTAAGTGCATCTTTAAGTGGGTTTTTCCTCGAAACCACTTTTTGAAAGTCCGTGCTCATCGGCATTTCTAAACGGCTCAGCCGATTGTTTTCAAATTTGTCTCATATTTTCCTGCATAAAAAAACCCCGCCACCTGGGAAGAGATTTTTTTAATTTTTTAACTTTAAATATTTTTTGTCTGTCCGTCCGTTTCTACGCAAACTAGTCTCTCAGTTTTTAAGCTATCGGCTTGAAACTTTCCCAAAAGTCTTCTTTCTATTGCAGGTAGTATATAAGTCGGAACCGACCGGATCGGACAACTATATCTTATAGCTCCCATAGGAAGGATCCCATTTTTAAATCGTTAAAAATAATCTAGCTTTGGTGTTTTTTGAAATATTACCTTCTACTCTTGGGGATGTTGTTTTTTAAACATTTCTGAGTTTCGAATTAAATATTTAAAATATCGGTCGACTATATCATATAGCTGCCATAGGAACGATCTAAAAATTAATGGGAAAGTAATAGGAAATAAATTTTAGCTTATTTGTTTTTTATTGTATTCTCTTCTACTTTAGGACATGACTCTTTTTAAATATTTCCGAGTTTCAATTTAAATTTTATCAAAATCGGACGATATTATATAGCTGCCATAGGGAAGGATAAAAAAATATTGTTAAAATAATACGAAACTTAAAATTTTTGCGATTTGTAAATTAATAGGAACGATTTGCAAGGGTATATAAGCTTCGGCTGGCCGAAGCTAGCTTTCTTTCTTGTTTTAATAGTGTTCCAGCAATCGCTTTGCCACCGATATATTAGCCGATAGTATCGGCTATAAAAATTAGTGGATTTTATTTAAATGACACTTAATTAACAAAATTGCATTTATACTTCTGGGAAATCTTTAAAGGTGTAGGCGGCAGACACATTTTAAAATCGTTAGTGGGCGATTGTGGGCGTAAGAGGGGGCTCAGCTGAAATAAACTTGCGCTGCGTAGGAAGCCCAAGAATATGTGTGGAAAATCTCAACCTTCTAGCATTTGTAGTTTCCGAGATCTCAGCGTTCAAACAGGCGGACAGACGGATAGACGGACAGACGGACAGACGGACATGGCAAGATCGACTCGGCTAGTGACCCTGATCAAGAATATATATACTTTATGGGGTCGGAAACGCTTCCTTCTAGCTGTTACAATATACCCTTTTACTCTACGAGTAACGGGTATAATAATAAGAATGCAGCTAAAATTTTGTTTAATGTTACATATACGCAAGTAGATCAAAATTTAATGTTTTTGTAAGTTAATAAGAATAATCTGCCATGGTATATAAGCTGCGGTTGGCCGAAGCTAGCTTCTTTTCTTGTTACCAAGTTTTTTTTTGTGTGTAGGAGATCTCTGTGTCACCGTGATAAACCGGGTAATATGGAAAGAGAGGTGACTTACCTCTCTACGCACCACTACATATCAGAGGGGCCTTGACTTCTCCATTAAGTTTGAACGTAGTTGCCGTTTGTTTCTGTATTCCTTACTCCGACACTAAACCCGGGCCACGCCCACAACGCCATGGAGGACCGCCGCCAGAGAATGCGGGCATATAGGCGGGCACGCCGGAAGTTCGCCTGCGTCGTTTATATGGTGACCATAGCCTGGATGGTTCTGGCTCTTTTGCAGTGGCTCTTAGTCAGCTTAATGTGAGTTGGGAAGATACTGCGGAACTTGTCTGTAATCTACCGACGTTTCAGTTCGGACATAAGCCTGGTCTTCATCAACTTTTACTGGATCAGCGTGATCTTCTTTGCTTTGGCCATGGTGATGGTCACACTGTTCATTTTCTTCGAGAAGATCCGCTTTATCATTGGCCTCAACTGGCTGATCACCGTGCTGATAGTGAGTATCCTGCGAACAGATACTGCCTGATCTCCCATTTCGCTTCCATCGGCTAGGTGGAGTTCGTGATTATAGGTATTTTCGCTCTGGTGGCGCGAACTCTTTGGCCAGATCTCATAATGTGGTTCTTCATCTGCGTGCTACTGGTCTTCCTGTTCGTTCTGCTGGGATCTATAATACCAGTAAGGAGTGTAGTATTTTTCGCTTGATTATTCCTGAAATCTTTTCCTAGCACGATCTCACATTGGACGTTGTAATCCTGTTCGTAATGGCCTTTATTTTTCTAATCGTCACCATCTTCTTTGTCATGATGCATATTCTGATCGCTATGCCCTATTCCTTCGTGGTTTTCCAGATCTTCATCAGCGTTATAGTGCTTTTGGTAAGAGGGGTAATTCCTAATGGTGACCGGAAAAGCCATATATTGACCTTTTATTGCTCCAGTTCGTAATGTACCATGCCCAGACAATCAACGGTGGACGTTTCGCCGAGATGCGACTTAATGATCACCTGCTGGCCTCGCTAATCCTCTTCCACGACTTTATCATCATCTTTCTGCTCACCTTCTATGCGCAGATTGTCTACCGGGTGGCTTCAAGTGCCTCGACCACAAAAGGTCCTCCGCTTCAAGAGACCTGGATTCAGACGACCCCGGATGTCTTTTACGTGACATACGAGGATGTCGATACAAGCACCGAGGATAGTGAAGAATCCCCCGGTGAAGAACCATCACCCGACGAAGGTAGCATTGTTTTCTTCTAGGGTAATTTACACCCTGAATGACTAAGATGATTGGGCCGCATTGATCGGAGGATGGTCAATAAGATCATTTAAAGCTCCTCGGGAGGCTAATAGCCCGTCGACTTAAAACGTAGCAAGGTAATGATAACCTAGGGATATAAGATCGTGGCATCCTTAGGACATCAATAAGCACTTACAATTAAACAATGAGTTTCTAATAAAATATCAGGGACTTGTGAAAAGTTGAAAAGGCCCCAAAGTCATTAAGAAAAAAACCAAATTATGAAAATGATACAATGCACTATCACAAAAAAAATACAATAAAATGATAGTATCTAATGAAAATATACTTACTCTTATAGGAGATATATTTTACTATTCAGAGCTAAAAATGGAAGCACTAAGGTAACCCAGCGTGATATTTTACATATCCACCATGCGCGGATCCACGGGGGTGATATGGGTGATATATTACCCCCCACTCGGGTGAAAAATGAAAGAAATTTTGTTATTCAAAAAGTATGCAACAAAAAAATTGTTCTGATATCACCTCCCACAAAAAAATCCTGGATCCGCCACTGATATCCACCCTAAAATAAAACAGAAGTAGCTTTCGTTTAACTGGAACTTTGAAACTTTAATCACTCGGACATTGACTAAATGTGGTTATATTTAAGCCGGTTAATTTTGGAGCTTTTCGGTTTTAACTTGACCGCTAATCAGATATCTTACAATTGGATATAGATATGGGCATACATATTATATGGATATAACATTGATTGAAACTACGATTGATTGCATTATTGATTGTTTGCACAGCAGCGTTGGATGACTGGCCCTTTTCCCCAAACACACTTATGTACAGTAGAACTGAGGTGTCAAGCTATAATAATATATGGGATTGGAACTAAAATAATGCTTAGATTAAATCATACACCGCCATTTTCATTCTTTATGATGTTAATTTAAGAGCAAATTAAACTTCCTGCTTAGGCTTTGAACATGTATGTGTTTAACCCATAGTCTCAAAGAAGAAATTACTTGGTCCTTAAATTCTTAATCAAATAAAACTAAACAAGTTAAGAACACTATTAAGCTAGGACTAAAGGGACTCCATGGAGGAGGTCGTCGAGCAAACGGTCGCATCCGAGTCGCTTTCCAGTTCCCGCAGCCCCTCTCCAATTCCATGGGCGGATAGCATGGGCGGCGAGGCGGGGGAGGCGAAGGACAGCAGTAGTGGGGTCACCAGTTCGTCGAGACTGCTCAGGGGCGTGGGCGTGGGCGTGGCACCACCGCTGAGACTGCTGCTCTCGGTCGAGGAGTTGTTGCCCAGGGACTGCGACTGCGAGGAGTAGCGCTCCAGCAGCAGCTGGCTGAAGGTCTTGGCCGGCCAGTCGGGATCCTCCGGCGATTCGCGGGTGGGCGTGGCCAGGGGCGTCGGCAGGCGGAAGATGCTGCTGCTGAAGGAGGCGCTGCTCTGGGCAAGGCTCTCGAGGGGCTCCAGGAACCGCCTGCCATGGTAAACGTTGCAGGTGGTGACGGGGGTCAGGAGGCTATCCACGGACATGGTGACCTCGCGATTGGGCAGGGGCGTGGGAAAGGGAATCGAGGGGGGGCATAGACTGGGCATTCCACACAGGGCAATGGGTCGAAATTGGTTCGGCGGCGGGGAGTGGGTCAAGGAGTGGGAGTTGGAGCTGCAGCTGCGACTGGGAGTGGACAGGGAGTGGGCGTGGTCGGTGGTGGGAATATTACGGGTCCTGCACAGTGACAGTAATTCAGATTCTGAAAATTTAATAAGAACAACTTTAATGGTTAGCAGGGGTCTCGACAATCTTGACCAGTGAAGCCACAGTGACTCAGAATCCTTTATTCACTGCATACTTCTAGACACCTTAAGTTACAGTTAGAAGTGATTTAAAATATTTGTATCGAAAACCAGCACACTTTTTCAAAAAACATCAGGAGAGTTTGTAGATCAAACGGTCGATCTATGCAGCGATTTCTATTCTTTTTCATATGGCAAATATGAACGCATAAACTCGGACTTCAGGATGCAGGTTGGTCAGCAATCGATCAGCAAAATCTGGTCGAAGCCATCAAGCGGACGCCCAAACGGACCTTAGCCAGCTATATATTCCATCGCCTTATCTATGATTTTATGAATACTTATACTCAGAAGCCGGAAAAGCTGTGCATATCATCAAGAAGTTCTCTTCTAATTTTTCGTCAGAGAATTTGATATCACAATTTTTGTGCGATCTCTTTTTATTTTTTCAAGGATTCAGATATCCAAGTGCAGTATTTGAAAATCACCAATCGGCGTCACTGGTCTAATAACTCCTTGGGATTTCTTAAATAGAAACTAGCACTAGCGATACATCTAAAGGGCCGACTACACTACCTGGGCTTCATACCTTCCGGCGACTCCTCGTTGTCCTCCTGGATGCTGGCCTGCCTCTCTCCCTTCTCCTGGACCGCGGAGGTGGTGCGGCCGTAGGAGTTGGTGGTGCCGGTCCGTGTGGCACCACTCCCGGCGTCCAGGGTCGTCTGCACCACCACGTCCATGTGCGAGTCCAGTGAGAACTGCTTGCCGGACATCAGGATGCCACGCACACGACGTCGCATCGATGGCGATTCCTGGTGCTGGAAGATCGTAAGTCCGAGTCCTGGCTGCCTGGCTAACCCGCATTGACTTACCGCTATCCGAACGCCCGCATACGTCTTGGCCAGAAACTCATCCGCATCGAAGATGGCCGCAAACGAACCGTTGACCACCTTTGGGGAAAGTGGAGAATTCGAGAGCAGCAGACTCGAGCCAAAGGCCTCGCTTTTCTCCTTGGTTTCTGCGGGGTAACAAGATAAAATCATAAATCGTAGTACTTAATTGAAAAATATGGAATAGCCATTCAGTTAATGTTTGATTAATATTTATGAAATCCCAATAGAAAATCCCAGTCCCTCCTCATTTTTCAGCGCTAAAAGTCTTATAAAAACGAATATATTTATGAATAAATATAAACAAAATTATAACTCAAAAACTACAAAATACACGCAGGGCCAAGGCAACGATTTCCGGTGGATCGGGGTGCATTAACAAACTGAAAGCATAAACGAAACGAAAACGGAAACAGGTACGGGAACGGAATCGGAATCGGAATCGAAAGCGGTGACTACTGCAGGCGGTAGGACTTGCGTTTACCCTTGAGATAGACGCGGTTCGAGATGGTGATGTTCATCTCCTCCAGCACAATGGAGGCCACCTGCCGGATCTCCATCCAGTCCTTGACGATATCATCAAGGGTCGTGTGCGTCGAGGTGATGGTGAACCGGATGACATATTGTCCCTTCAGCGACGAGGGGATGCAGTGGAGGTTGCCGCGGTGGTTCAGCCTCTTCAGCAGCTTCTCGGTGATCTCGTTGTCGCCCCGAATCCGGAAGACCACCAATCCCAGATGCCTCTTGGCGGGCAGCTCGAATCGGTGGTCGGCCAGGACGAGGGCCTCGAACTTCTGGGCCAGACGAACGCCCTCGCGGATGTGGCGCTGCAGTCCCTTGATCCCGAAGGATCGCAGGACGAACCACACCTTGAGGGCCCGAAATCGACGACTCAGCGGAATCTGCCAGTGCATAAAGTCCACCGCCACTCCGGAGTTCTCGTGCTGCAGATACAGTGGCTCCACATTGAAGGTCCTGTGCACGGCGGTGCTGTCGCGCACCCACAGTGCGGTGGCATCGAAGTGCACCATCAGCCACTTGGACGGATTGAAGGCAATCGAATCCGCCCGCTCGATGCCGCGCAGCCAGGTGCGAAACTCCGGGCAGATGAAAGCGCTGCCTGCGTACGCAGCGTCCACGTGGAGCCACAGGTGGTGCTCCACGCACACCAAGCCGATCTGGTGGAAGATTTTATTATCATTAATTAATCACGTGACCCTTTATTTTTTCAAATATCTAAATATTTTCATATCCCGAATTTAATATATTTAAATGCTTTGAATTTCCATCAAAACAATACAAAGCATTCTAAATACGCCACGAAAAAGACCTCGGTATTCCGGTAAAGTACATCTGTCTGTTTAACAAAATTAAAATTTTTGTTATAGTACCCATTTTTTTTAATGTGAATAAAACTTGTTTGGCATTTTTTTATTTTCTAACTTGAGTTCTGACGTCGGGCATCGGCGACTCATGTTACACGTAATATAATGCCCTTTATATTACTTATACACATAGTTGAATTCCAGCCATTAGTTTGCAAATGCAAAAGGGCTGTCTTCTTTAAAAACACACGCCTAAAAACCAACATTTTCAGAACTCGAGATAAAAATCAAAAAGGGGCCAAAACTGTTTTTACACTTTGAACACTTACAAACAATTTTATGTCGCCTTTTTCTAATCAGCGAGTTCTACCTTACCGGAAATCCAAGGTCGTCTTTGTGGCGTATTTTGTTTATTTTTTAAACTGGTGTAAATAATGAACTAAGGATCGAGTTCTTAATTTGATTTTAAGATTCTGGTGCTTTATCTATCAGACAAAGTAAACATTAAGCTAAATTCAATTTTTTAATGTGATGTTAATTTTACGAACGACCAATCTTTAATATTTCATATCACGATTCCGAGGTAAATTCGATTTGACAAAGTTGTTGCTATTTATTTCCTGTAGCTAAGACTTTTCAGTCAGATAAAAAACAAACCCCAGCAATTTAACTTAAAAACGAAAACTAACATGACTCCATTTAAAATTTAAAAAACCTTGACGTTTTATCATAAAACTTTTACATCCTTTGATCATGGCACTAAAACATTCGTTGGCTATCCGATAGAATATTTTTGTGTGGCCAGTTTAATGAGATTCAATCTCTCATCTATCCTTTTGCTCATAATTATTCCCCAAATACCCACCTCCTCCAGGTTGTCGAAGCTGCAGCTGCCGGTGGTGCCAAGCGTGGCGCAGACCTAAAAATAAACCACCGCAGGACACTTAAGTGCTGACATGTATTAATTGGCTCCACTGGGAGTCGCGAATCGCGAATCTGGGGTCTCCAGTCGGGAGTCAGGAATCAGCTGGCTGCGCAAGGCGGGCCAATTAATTTTGACAGACTGCCACTCACCCAGAAGGGGACCAGGCCCTGCTTAATGTCATCCTCGATGGCCTCGCGCAACAGTT